ACGTTAGGAAGGCATTTCTGGGACACTTGGGCAGCGTTTATAGGCTGTATTTATGACTTTTTATTCCACCGTTGAAAGGACGTTTTGGGTCTGTTCTTATAAACAGTTGCTAAAATCATTGAATCCTGACCTGAGTCGACGACCATCTGTGTATCCAATTTTTTCAAGAGTGAAGTTGTCTATGATATCTCAAATCCACGAGAACATTTGGACATTGGACCGTTCCAGTGGAGAAAAAACAAGATATTTGAAGTAAAAACAATGTCCACTCCGATTTTATTAGGCCTTTTAATCTGTTGGTCGAACATTTTAGTGGACAAAGGTGCCAGGATTGGGGCCCAACCAAATATTTGAATGTTATTTGCAAGTCTTCGTTGGCACTGTGTGCGTTTGTTAGCGAGTTCTACACAAGAGTAGTGCCTCAAACTTTGAAATCCACTCTGTCCTAGAAGCTCTCTGGAACGTTCCTCAGACTTTTCCAAGAACATTCCCAAACATTCTGATCCACTATCGTCACTTTCCAGAACTGTTAGCCAGCGACGGTAATGTGATGTCTTTGACAGATGGACGTGGACACAGGAGACGTTCCAGAAAGAGTTGTACATCCGAGACACAAAGAAGAGAGCGGTGTTTGTTAAATAAGATACAACAGGCCGTGATTGGTTGATCGTTTCCTTATTGATCCACTGATCAGGCGTAGATTTACTGCGTCTTTCTCAGTGAGTTCATTAGAGCGGTGACCTCTGACCTATTATAGATCCACCGAGTCCACGGAGGACGATTATGATGAGGGGACCTGTCCACACATATATTATGGTCATGTGATCAGCAGTAAATGATTGGCTTAAACCGTCGCACATCTGCTCAAAATACATTCAGACCAAGTGAATAATTGTTGACTAAAATAACATCAGGTGTGTGTGTGTGTGTGTGTGTATTTCCTTTTCCCACAATGCTTTGTTGTGTCTGACAGATGGTGATAATCACAACTGTCCCCAGGAGAAACAGAACAAACACACGCTCTAATGATCCTGATGCTCCCGTCTCTCCTTCTCAGCTGATCCAGGTCCAACCTCCTCCGGTGATGTCACTGCTGTTGTTCCTGTCACAACTTTTGGCTCTGATAAAAATCCAAACAGGTTTCGGTTAAACAGACTTTTTCTCTCCAACTCCAGAGTTCATAGAGGAAAACCAATCTTCTCAGCGTCTGGAGTCAAATGATCTCCCCGTCCCACTGCTGCCTCCTGTGGTCGATGTATGTCACGAAGATAAATCTGAACGATGAATATCAAACGTTTGATCTAAGTGATGGAGGCAGCAGCAGATCAATATCTCCTGTTTACCACCGCGGTAGAACTGATGATTTTCTCCCTGAGAGTGAGTCCAGGTGTGGTATATGAAAATGTTTCTATTTAAACTATTTGAAATGTTGAATAAGCGCTTCACATTAACTATTAACTCACATGAATCGTTTGACTTTTATTGTCTGGGTGCAGCTGTTTCCAGTCAGGCTGATTATGTGACAGTGAGTTTAACGTGTCAGTCAGTCAGTAACTCAACCACAATTCAAAAAAAGCCTCAACTGCCGCCTTAAACTTTAATGAGCTGCAACCTGAGGCAAGCTTTTCTACAGCCGTCCTTTCTGCCGATCAGTGACAATATGAGTTCACGAGAGAGAATCTTTGAAAGTTTCGGAGAACAAAAGCTTAGCTACATTTGTAAGTTTTACAAGGTTTTCATGAACACATCACATTCAGTATGATACTGTGTTGTATTTTGTACAATTGAAGTTAATGTTTTAGAACAGAAAGTTCAAATGAAAGAGAGACTTGGGGGAGAAGATCCTCCTTAAGTATTTGAATTTACCCATTAGCCGCTAACTTTTCCAAACTTGGAAGAAGAAGGTACAACTACTGCATTCATTAGCACGCTTGGACTTCTGGGAAAACTTTGACAGAAATGTAGTTTATAGTACAATTTGTCTTACAAATGTAGTGAAGTAAAAGTAATACTTTGTCAAAAGAATTATTACTCAAGTGAAGTAGAGTTACTTAAAAACTGTACCTTAGTACATTACTCGAGTAAATGTACTTTGTTACACCTCTGCAGTATAGGTCAAAGTAAGGCCAGAAATAGTAACGTGTTAGGCTCCACAGAGGCTAATGTGTGCTTAATGCTAAGAAGTAGCATTAAGCACACATTTAGCAGTTAGCCGCAAATATATAGTAGCTAAAAATATAAGGAAAACTGACCAAACTGCTGTAAATGAGTCCATAAATGTCTGAAGCAGACAGCTGGAAAAATTATGAATAAAAAGCTGTACATTTAGAAGTCAGTAACACAGGTTGTCGAGCCTGTGCACCCGGCTGACTCACAGATTTAAAAACTGTCCCCGGAATGCAGATTAAAACGGACCATCAGGTCCCAGCGGATGGACCAGGACGCGAGGGACAAAAGTCACAGACATATTTAAACAGATGTCTTTACCTCATCCTGCAGGAAGGTGTTTGTTCTGTCTCAGAACAAAGCACCTGAACGCACCGTTAGCTCCGCGTCTGTCTCTGTCCTAAATCCACCTGAGGGGTCGGACAACCTTCTGGAGGGAGGACGCACGTCCTTCACACAGGGGACGACGACGACGACAACCCGTGACTGTGCACTTTGCCTGCTGCTGCAGCGATGACTCAGCAACACGAAGAACAGAGGGTGAAGCCCCTGTGGACGGGTGGACGGAGACACAAAGACAAAGTCGTCCAACTGATGCATGATGTCAACACGACCAAACACAATCTGTGGACCTGTGTATCAGGTGAGTTATCCAGGAACATTTGGTTGACCCTGACGACCTCTGGTTGTGTTTTCTTCGCGCCTCCTGTTTGTTGCATTATTTATTGTGTTAAGTGTTCGCATCCTGCTGATTCGACAAAAAAGTCTCTCTTGTTCTCACTTTGTTTTAGCTTGACTTTTTACTTGTTTGTCTCAGGACCAATCAGTCTGCATTGCCAACTTTGGTCACTAGGCAGGACTTTTGTGTGAGGCGCTGCTACTGCTGCTACCGCAAACCAAACCAGTGACAGCTAAAACAAGAGCGAGAATTAATAAGAACGTCCTCCTTTACAATATTATTATCAGAAAGTTCCTTCAACCAATCGGTTTTGACCAGTCTCTCGTTAAACATTTACAGCATTGGACAATGCTATAAATGCTACGTTATGTTTTTTTTTCATTCCGTCCGTGACTTCCAGGGGCCGCGCCCCCCACTTTGGAAACCTCGGTGTTATTATATCGTTTCTGGTATTGATCTGTGTGGTATCTCCGTGGCTGCGCTGTGTCTCTGTGTTGCAGCAGTTTCACAAACAGACTAAATAATAAATGTTATAGTGGAAAATGAAAAAAAAGTAAGAAAGAAATTCTCTGCAGGTTTAGCCTGAACCTGTTCAAGGCCAAACACCAGCTGCCACCCCCAGGGGCTGATGGGAGGTGGAAGAGCAGGTGGGAGGGGGTGGGGGTGCACTTTCACACCTCTACACTGTTAGAAAATTGAACAGGAGGTTTTTACACTGACACAAAAGGTTGACAACAAAAAAAAGACAGAGGAAGAAGAATGTCTACGAGTAAAGGTGGAGGAGGAGCTGAATGTTGGGGAGAGAAACGACAAGAAACATGAGGTAGAGGAAGGAGGGATGAAGAAAAAGAAGGAGTAGAAATGTTAAAGGTGGAGGAAACAAGGAGTGAGAGGAGGAAATAGAAACAGGAAGTAGAGGAAGAGGAAAAGGAAGGATGAAGATGAGGCTGGGATGACAGCCTCAATAACGACAATGGTGATGATGATGATGATGATGGTGGTCATATGATGGTGATGTTGATGATGATGATGGTCATAATGATGACGATGGGGGTAATAATGATGATGTCATCATCCCCTGACAGGGTTGCCACCTTTATCAAGACCATGTCCACCGTGAAGATGATCCAACTTTTGCGTGCTGCAGTCAGAAAAAAAAAAAGGAAGGACCAATCATCAGTCTCCAGGGTCATGTGACTGCCCAAACCTCAGCCGGAGAAAACAAAATGACATCTTGTTGCATCAGCATCTCTGTGGACAAACAGAGGTGCGGACATGATCGATGATGTCTCTGGAGACATCAGGAAGGTGAGAGTCCATATTGATGAGGACATTTACATTGATGTGCATAAGCAAACATGGCCTTCTGGGCACTGAAGTGGAGGATGAAAGAGTTGCTTAGTCACACAGTGAGGGCTCAATATGAATGTGGAACAGAGAAGTGGGAGAGTCCAGAGTGGAGCTCAGATCTTCTGAAGAACATCAGCTGCTCTGGTTTAAAACAAACAAAAAAAAAAGTCCTCAAAGCAGACGAGTGATCGGCTCTAGTTTGAATCGTCTCGTGTTGGAAAACAGAATCAGCTGAAAAAGTGGTAGAGTCAGCGTAACTGGGAAGCTAGCAAAACTAGCATCCATCCATCCATTTTTGTCCACTCATGACCGCCACCCAAATCACACTGCACCGTACCAACCCCCCTGAACCTTCCTGCAGGTGGTGAGTCCACTGGAAGGTACCAACCGCCCTGACCGGGATTCAATCTTGCCCAGGAGGTGAACCCTGGGGTTCCACACCAATGACAGAGACGTTGTCTCTGGGCCAAAGCAACACTCAAAACTAGCATTTAATGCTAAACAGTGTTAGATTTACGGTGAGATTTAATTTAGTATATTAGCTTTTAGCGTTAGCTGTTAGCTGCTAGCTGGGTTTAGTATATTAGCTTTTAGCGTTAGCTGCTAGCTGGGTTTTTTGCATAGCGAAAACAGTGACTCCAGGAAAATGTCGACAGAATGAAAAAAGCTTTGAAGAAAAAAACATTTAAATAAACGTTAACAGCTAATATTGACTTCTATCAATCATTTGTCATCGAACAGTTTCAAGAAGAATCCAAAAAATCAACACTTTTAATCTGACCTTCCATCATTCTCACCGCACACACACACACACACACACACACACACATCCCACCGCTGCCAGAATCTTCTGTGCTTCTGTAGCCCAGTGGTTATTGTACCTGCCTTACAGATGACAGAGTTCAGAGTAGAAACAAAGAAGTATTCAGCTGTAGAGTATAATACCTGTCATGTACTGCGAGTTTATAAAAAGCCTATAATTAGAGGCTGTATTTTTCTTTTATCTTGTCAAACCACTATTTTTTCTTCCGGTGAAAACTCTTTCTTATTTTTTTTAACAAAGTCTGAGAGAAAACTGTTATATTTTCCCCTGAAGTTGCATCAACACGAGGAGCCGAAGACGGATAAGGTCAGACGGGCTGTGGACATCAAAGTCTGGCACATACTATGGCCTCCAACCCCAGACCTTTGAAGGTTTAGTATTCACCACAAACAACAGATCAATACCGCTGGACACGAGTGGACAGGAGTGAGAAGGAACGGGGCCAGGAACCACAGCTTTGGTCCAGGAACCACAGCTTTGGTCCAGGAACCACAGCTTTGGTCCAGGAACCACAGCTTTGGTCCAAACCAGGAGGTTTATTTCTCTGTTGTTGTTGTTGTTCATTTCACTTAGAGACAGTAATGTCACATAAAATCCACAGGTGGTTAACTGTGAGGACCAGCAGGGGGACATGTGTGTTAAATTACACTCTGCCTCACACACACACACAGACAGACAGACACACACCATCCATCAGCAGTCAGAGGAGGTCTCACTCTGCTGCTAAATCAGTCAACCAAAATACCCAGAGGAGCTGTGATCAATAGCTGTGTGTGTGTGTGTTCATCGAATTCTATCTTTGATTGATTCTTACACACACACACACATACATAAAACTTAAACTAGCTAGATTATTGGTTTTGTGACGTCACACGTGCCAGGAATTGTTGGTTGATTTCTGTCATCAATCACTGTGAGCTAATTGTTGTGTCCCCTCGTGATTAGTGTTGATGGTTACGGGGACACCTGATCACATGGTTCCTGTTACAACCCGAGCCGTGCGTAAAGGCGGAGTCAGCGGGGACGCGCCTCCAACCACAGACAGACAGACACGAGAGAGAGAGGGAGAGAGAGAGAGAGAAGAGAAAGGGAGCTTTAGTTGACATTTCGTGACAAACCGCGTCTTCTTCCTGTGGCTGAACATCTCTCTCTCTCTCTCTCTCTCTTTGTTGTTCTTTTCCCGTTCGGCTCAGTTCGGCTCAGTTCGGCTCGGTGAACACCTCCCGTCCGTCTGGAGCTGCAGGAGCAGCGCGGTGAGACACCGGGACGCAGCAGCAGCAGCAGCAGCGTGAACCGCCGAACTTCAGGCTGCGGTGCCCGCAGCGGCTGATGTACAGGGTCCGCCTTTTTGTGTGGAACTCCAAGTCCTAAACTTGTTGCTTGTGAAAGAAACGGTCTGAGTCGTTATAACCTGTGAGTTTTTAAGTACTTTTTCCACTTTTGCTGCTCTTTGGTTTCGCGCGTCAGTTTTCCTGCGTAGAAAAACTCCGTTTGGTGTTTCCTCCACCTGCTGCCCGGCTCTCTCTCCTCTCCCCCCGCATGTTTTTCCTGCTCCTCACGGCTCTGTGAACCGCAGCAGCAGCATCATGGCTGGAGTCGCGGCGTGGCTGCCCTTTGCCCGGGCTGCAGCCATCGGCTGGATGCCGGTGGCCCGGGCGCCGATGCCGTTCCCGCCGAGGGAGAAACGGCGGGAACAGGGCTCGCTGATCATACTGAACGTGAGCGGCACAAAGTTCCAGACGTGGCGGGACACATTGGAACGGTACCCGGACACCCTGTTGGGCAGCACCGAGCGGGACTTTTTCTTCCACGAGGAGACCAACGAGTACTTCTTCGACCGCGACCCGGATATTTTCCGACACATTCTAAATTTCTACCGCACAGGGAAGTTGCACTACCCGCGCCAGGAGTGCATCTCAGCGTTTGACGAGGAACTGTCCTTCTTTGGTATCATTCCAGAGATCATTGGTGACTGCTGCTACGAGGAATACAAGGACCGCAGGCGGGAGAACCAGGAGCGGATCCAGGACGACGAGGAGGATGAGCAGAGCAATGAACTGTCCACCCAGGACTTGAACTTCCGAGACACCATGTGGCGCGCCTTTGAGAACCCCCACACCTCCACCATGGCTTTGGTTTTCTACTACGTCACCGGTTTCTTTATCGCGGTGTCGGTTATGGCCAACGTGGCTGAGACGGTTCCCTGCGGTGCGATGCTAAACCGCGTCAAGGAACTATCGTGTGGTGAGCGGTATGCGTTGGCCTTCTTCTGCCTGGACACGGCGTGTGTCATGATCTTCACGGTGGAATACCTGCTGCGCCTCTTCGCGGCACCGAGTCGCTTCAAGTTCGTCAAAAGCGTCATGAGCGTCATCGACGTGGTGGCCATCATGCCGTACTACATCGGTCTGGTCATGACGGACAACGAGGACGTCAGCGGCGCCTTCGTCACCCTGCGGGTTTTCCGGGTCTTTAGGATCTTCAAGTTCTCGCGGCACTCTGCTGGACTTCGTATCCTGGGCTACACGCTGAAGAGTTGTGCGTCCGAACTGGGCTTCCTGCTTTTCTCGCTGACCATGGCCATCATCATCTTCGCCACCGTCATGTTCTACGCAGAGAAGGGTTCCAGCGGCAGCACCTTCAGCAGCATCCCCGCAGCCTTCTGGTACACCATCGTCACCATGACCACACTGGGGTGAGTCAAGAGGGGTTTCTGGGCGTGGCTTTGTGCTAGCTTAATTAGTTCTTATTCTTAATTGTAATAATGATGTCTGATGTCACTGCTTTCCCATGTTGAATGTTGGGCCTCTGTCCATGGTGCTGAACCTGCTGGACCTGATGACTGTAGTAGCATCTGTGCTAAACAGGTTTTTTTTTACCATTTGGTCGAAGGACATCGGTTCTAGCCTTAGCCTGACACTCACAGGGATGTGTCACTGCTTAGTCTTGGGGTTAGGTGGTGCTTTACGACAAAAGTTTGTCTTTTTAGAACTTAACTGAATAGAAATTCGATTAAGAAAAAGAAGAAGAAAAACCATGAAAAAATGATTCTCACTCTTGCTGTAGTTTCGCGCATGTGAAAAAGACATGACTAACTGAACTGCACTTGGAAAAAAAACCCTGAACTATAAATCCGTTCAATCCTCTTTGACCTGTGTGGAGGTTGACCTTGATGACCTGACCAGGTTAAACAGTGTGAACCATGACCACAAAACACACGTGCATGCGTGACTGCGTAGCTAACGATAAGTAATTTTTTTTTTTCAGTGTGAACCATGACCACAAAACACACCTGCAGCACATGTAGCTAAGTAATATTTTTTTTCCTTCCGCCATAAATATCAAAATGTTATAAATATTTTTCTACAACTCATGCTTAATTATTTTTTGACCTCACTGAAAAGACGGTGACGTTTCAGCTGCTTTTATCGAACAAAAAAAACCAAACAAACTGGCCAAGATTAAATGTTGCGATCGCTCAGGCAGAAACTTCAGTAAACACCTGGGTGTCTTTCTCGCTTTCAGTGTAACAACACCCTAAGTGTTGCTCCACGGTGACAGGAGATTAGTTCACACCTGCCCAGACAGGTGTGTTGTGTTTACACACACACACCTACCTGCTGCTCAGGTGTTATGTAACCGCTGGCAGGATGGGACATTGTGTCAGAGGGAGACTGTGGTTGTGTGACAGGATCCAGGTGAAAGAGAGAGAAGCCTTTGGCACCAGAGCGGCTGACGTCTCTGACCAGATAAATATTTAAAGTCTTCTTTACGTTTGGTTTTGACACAAACAACGTTGACTGTTGGAGACCACCGCAGATAATCTGAGACAGTTCAAAACACCTGGGGTTGGGCTCCCCAACCTCAGGTCCGCGGGCCGGTACCGATCCGTAGGTCATTTGTTACCGTGCCGCAGTGGGACAGAATTAAAAAAATGAACTTCAGTTTTACTAGTTGACTCCATTCCAAAATAATCCAGTCATATACCTTTACTTTTTTCATTCAAAGATAATCTTCCAATGTTTCAAAACAACAGGTCAAAGGTCAGTCCGACTCTGATACTGACAGAATAAAGTCTGAAAGATGTTTTATTTTGAACATTTATTGGAGTGGTGCTAGTGGTCGGCAGTAACGCCCCCTACTGGCCCACCGGTCCTTAGTACAAAAAGGTTGTTGACCGCTGATCTAAAACACACATTTTCTCCCCTTGGGAACCTCGGTCATATGGCGTGGAATATTTGATGATTTCCATGGAGAGAAGCGTCAGTCTCTGACAATCAAAGAATGTTTGAGAAGACAGTTACAGACTAGTGGACAGCAAAGACATTTAGAGACCACGGTGCACAGTTGAAGTCGGTCCACGTCTGCTAAAAATATTGGAGAGCTGTTGAAATATTGAAGAACTGCTGAAGGCAGCGCTCAGGACGAAGGCGGCCGAACACCGATGAAGACGGATGAAGCTGGTGAAAGTGAAGGACGGCCGAAGACAGATACAGTCCACTCAGCGACAGTTAAAGGCCGTCATTAAGACGGCGGTCCTCACGTGTGAGTGGTTAATAAGGTTTGAGCAGGCAGAGACAACAAGTCGATCACAGATGACATGATGCAGAACAGTCATTCTGTGTGATGACTGTGTTACTGCAGCTAATGAAGTCCCTCTCACACACACACACACACACACACACACACACACACACTCATTATTTTAATGAGCTGTGTAACGAAGCCTCCTGCAGGAGCAGCCGAGCTAAAAACATGATTTTTGTTGTCAGTGGAATTCCTCACGGTCCCTGAACACAGCACCTGTTTAATTTGGAAATGACCCTTTTAATGGGCTGGTGGTGCCGCAGCCCTGCTGGACCAGGGTGTTACATCAGCTGCTCTGAAGAAAATCAGAGCAAATAACTCTGATAAGACGACGTGGCTGGATTTATTCACAGTCATGTGACAGAAACTCCAAACGTTCTGTTCCCTCTAGAACTGGTGACGAAGTACGGACATTTTTTCTGTGAAAAGTAGTCGAAACATCTGTGATTTTTTTTTTTCGTACCCAGATAATTTTCCATTTATTCAAGTCTTGTTTTCAACCTTGGGGTCGTGGCCTCTTGTGCGATCGCCTGGAATTCAAATAGTGTGGCCTGAAATGTCTAGTTATTGATAAAAGAAAATGACTGATAAAATATATTTTCAACTATTCTAACACGTTCATGAATATAATAAAAGTGCAACATTGCACATATAAGAATATCTTGATTGACAGCTGCGATCACGTGACGCTACTTTAGTTCCCGCGCTGCTCTGTATTTGGAACCCCGTATATCAAACATAATCGAAAACTAATTCTTTGGGGTCGCCAAAAATTTGTGAGGTCAAAATGGGGTCACAGGTCAAAAACAGTTAGGAACCACTGGTCAAGCTTTAAAGTTACCACAGTTCAGGCTCTTTGTCTCAGAATACTGAGAGAAATGAGAAAGTACTGGTCGCAGTCGGGCTAACAGTGTGTGTGTGTGTGTGTGTGTGTGTGTGTGTGTAGGATAGAAAAGTAGCCTGTCTCTGTATCATCGACGTTCATCACAACCTGCTCTAGATCCATGCTTCTTGGCTCCGCCCACTGTGCCATTAAATCACAATCATGACTGGGCCAAATCCATTTCTGCTGACTCGACACAAACTCAAAGTATAAACTTAATCATAATAGATATCTACTGAAACCGTCCACTTCTGGTTACCCAACATCAGCAAAATCTCTGGTCCAACACTGGGCCAGGAGATCATGGTCCACAGGTTTGTCCTGCCACGGCTGTATTCAGAAGTGGGACAGGTTCATGGCCCAACTTTTGTGACTGACGATAACTGACGATAACTGACGATAACTGATGATAACTGATGATAACTGACGATAACTGATGATAACTGATGATAACTGACGATAACTGATGATAACTGATGATAACTGACGATAACTGATGATAACTGATGATAACTGACGATAACTGATGATAACTGATGATAACTGACGATAACTGATGATAACTGATGATAACTGGGCTCAAAGACTGACACCGTTTGTCTCATCGCTGGCTGAGTCAAATCGATTTCACCTTGAGGACATAACTAGTATTACGGCTCAAAGACTGACGCTGTTTGTCTCATCGCTGAGCTGAGTCAAATCGATTTCACCTTGAGGACATAACTAGTATTACGTAACCATGAATTCCCATTTTAAACCTTTGGGATTTTAAAAACATGGTTATGGCCCAGACCACGTAGTCCACATGTGGGCTACTGGAAAAAACTCTGTTGGTATTCCTGGAAAACTTCTTAAAGCGGGAACAGTAACGGCACGCGGACTCTCACCTGTCATCATGTGCTACTGGACACCTGCGGGGGGGCGTCTCCTCTCCTTGTGTCTCTGGATCAGGTGTCCTCGTCCTCCACTTGCTCGCCGTGTGACCTGATCTCCAGTCAGGATCCGATGGCCACGCAGTGTCACCTGTATGTTTCTGCAGACCATGCGACCTGTGACCCCGCCTCCTGCGCTCGACCCCGCTGGTCCAAAACGCTAACTCTCACGTGAGTTCATCAGCCCTCTCTGGGAAGACACGTTTCCCGCACATGTGGACTCCATTTCCCCGTGGCCTCACCCGAGGATCACTGAAAACCACGGGCAACAGTACACTGATCGACAGCGGTCATGTGATCGTACCCGGTGACCTTTAGTCCTCGCTCATCACTGTTCAGAGTCTGTTAGTTACAAAGTTAGTTACAAAATTAAAGTGTTTTAAGAATAAAACGTCTTTTTTAATGTTTTGTTTTTTTGGCTACTACAAAATAAAATACTCACCTTCTACTTTTCTAAACTAAAACCAGCCCCTCATCTTTGAGAGTAGTTTGTGTATTTCATTCTTTCACAAAAGCTAAATTAAAATAATAAAATCCTATTTTTATCTTCTCTTCCAAATGTTAAAAAAAAAACTTTTTTCAAAATAAAAGTCTTCACTTAGGTTCATTATTGTCTGAATTCACAGTTGCAGTTCAGTCACAGTAGTTTTCAGGATTCTGAAATGACTTGTATTTCCACATTAAAGTCTTCGCTGACTTTATTTAAATCGGTTTTCATTTGTACCCGTTCTGTGTTTGTTTAAAGACGACAGAGTGAGGCTTCTTGTTTCGTACGTCGTCTCTGTTTGATCTGTTTAAACTGTGGCTGAACCTGCAGTGTGTTAGTATAAGAGATACACACACACACACACACACACACACGGAGGGGCGAAAGGTAAATTGGTTGTCATGGCAACATCATGGACCTGGGTGGCCAGTTGTCTGTGTGTGAGTGTCTGCATGTGCCGTACTGTGCTTATGAGCGCCCCCTGTGTCAGAAACATGGCGCCAACGTAGACATTAAGGGGAGTGAAATTTTATTCGCTGTATAGATAATATATAATAATATGCAGTACTTTGATGTAGTATTTGTTACTTTGACACATGATCATGAATAATCCTCACGTCTGTGGAGGAGAAAACAGCCTCTAATGTTTCTGTGTCTCTTATTCCCACTTTTTCATTTTATCAGTTTGCTGGGGAGTGTGTGTGTGTGTGTGTGTGTGTGTGTGTGTGTGTTCCGTCATCTGTCCGCAGCAGCAGGTGTAGAACACCTCTGTCTACGTAACATGTAAGTCAGGTGAGAGATAGTGA